TCCCACAAATTTTAGTTGTTCCATCTTCACTGATCTGAACCATTTGCTCCAGAAACAAGCAGCTCAGCAGTCACTGCCACCACCTCTGATTGCTTGGGGGGTTCACCAGCACAGGTGGTGGCTCACACCTGCCCCAGTTCCTGTGGATTTTCTGGAAGCCAGGCTGGTCATCACAGGGTATGAGCAACCAGCACTGCAAAATCCAGCAATTTGGCTCCAATTGAAAGAAAGGCATAAATTTGGACATGGATGATGCCAGCTCTAGCCCTGGTGTCTCAGGCAAAATGGAAACAGTTCTGCTTTCCACTGCTGAGCTGTCAAAAACTGGGAGGTGGCAAGGTCTCCAAGGAAGGCAGATTCATAACCTGGGAGGGAGGCAAAGAGATTCTCTGTGCAGAAATACTTTTGCAACAGCAAATCTCTCCAATGTGGTTCAGATTCTGCATAACATCCACACAAGTGGCATCTGGCAGCTTCAGACTCTTCCCAACTCTCATTCTGGGAACAGAGTTGCCAGAGAAGCTGATACTAATTATTTAAAACTGGGACTTGCATATTTCCCATGCCATTCTACTTCTGAAGCACTGCTCTACTGAGGAGAGGTTTGCAACTGCCAAGACATGAAAGAGTGTTTGTTATTAACACATCACTACATAACCAGGGGCTTAGCAGGGGGCTGGGCATGCACATGAGTCTTCCTCTGTTGCTGACAGTGTAGATGGAAGTCCCCAGGTATCCCATTAGGTGACAAGTGAGAATGAGTACTGCAGCCAAAACTAAGCAATTTGGCACAATTTAGTAGAGAGATGGCATTTTCTGCTCATAAAGGGCCCAGAATTGGAACAGCACGAGATGTTTCTGATTGAGATTGAGCTGTGCTGGCCAAGCTGAGTGGGTGTCTCACAGAGCAGAGCAGCAGTGGGTGCTGAAGTCCAGGACTGAGATCTGCTGGCAGAGCTCAGACGGGGAATGTTGCCCAGTTTCTGAGAACAACACCGAGTGTGTATTTTAATTAGAGCTCCTCTGCTCATCTGCATGGCTCAGCAGAAACTTTGTGAATTTTCCAGGCCTTTATTAGGATCCAGCCAAAAAAACTACCTTCAATTTTTTCCTTCTCCTCCCCCAGTGAAGCCACACTGGTAGCAACCACCCACCCCACGTGCTCTGCTGCTGGCTCTGTGGAATGTCACAGGGAGGCACTGATTCCATGTACATGGAGTGATGTGTGGCTCTGGAAAGAGTGCCCAGCTCGGATTAAATGAGGCCTGTGAGCAAAGGCAGTCTGATAGCCAGGTATGATGACACACAGAGGAGTGAGCTGGACACACAAAACCTGAGTAACTGACTCCAGGGTGCTGGGGAAGGCAGAAGTAAGGGACAGTACATGGGGAGTGTTGGACAGGACAGGAGCTAAGAGGGCTGCAAGGACCTGCCACCAAATTGTGCCCTGGGTCCTGCCCAGTGTTCATTGGCTCCAGCTAGAGATTCCATCCCAGGCACTGCAGACACACTGACCCATCCTAACAACAACAAAGGAATTCATACTTTGGGAAGGCTCCTCCCCTCCCTGTGTTACGCACTGGCCTGGAGTTTAACTGGCCAAAGCAGCCCACAGGGAATGAGCTCATTTGAATATGGGAACTCAACTCAATAAGGAGTAAAGACAATTGCTTCAAGGCTGTGAGTTCAGAGTAAGAAAAACAGGTTTCCAGATCTCCTTTGGGAGCCAGAAGCTTTGGCTTTCACCCCTCCCTAATGTGCTCACCCTCATTTCCTTCCCTCTTGCCTCCTGCCTAAGGAGGGTCTGGCAAACCCTCATTTCTCCAAACCAAGGCAAGTTTCAAGTCTGCAAAGCAAATTCAGTGAAGTCAAAAGCTCACACTGACGGGTCTGTCAGTTCTGAGCTGCCTGAGAACAGGTGCCACTGTGCAACTCTCCATAGCTAATCTTCAAACAAGCCAGAATCACATCCTTTGTCTGCTTCCTGAAGAAAAAGGGGAGTTTTCCCCCTTTTCTCTTTTTTCCCACCTTTTCTCTCTTTTTTTTTTCCCTAAAGGGAACAAGTTCCATTTCCAATAACTGAACACTGATTAAAACCACTGTCCTGCCACTCCCCCAAGTTGCAAGTAGCTTACACCAAAAAGCTGTCAAGAAAAAGATTTCTTGTACAAGAACTTCATAACACCAGGGAATAGAAATGAAGGAAAACTGTTGACATTAAATTTTAACTCTTTGCATTCTAAAAAATCTTTTAAATCTTACCCTTCTCTTCCCATGCTTTTAATAAAAGTATCCCAGTGAAAATTCGTTGAGATCAGTTTCAACTCTTTGAAATGACACACAGCAGTGACCCAGAGGCAATCAGCTTGCTATTTCCATAATTAAACAGATATTTAATCAATACTTTTTATTCAGTCTGAGGTAGCTCATATGAATCCAACAGCCCTGTGTCCCTCTCTGTTACCTCTAACTGGAATTCATGGGGTGGCTCAAGGGCAGGCAATAAGGAGCTGGACTTGAGCTCTCAGCCAACCGTTTCACCTCTAATTTTGCTCAAATTTGAGGCAAATCTAGATCTCCATTGGCTTAAAAAATAAATGTTGACCAAGAAATGGGTGTTTAGCTCTTTAAGTGAACAGGTTCTCTGAGAGAATAAACCTCTTCTTTTTGTTGGCAGATTGTAAAATGAATCATACAATTACCTTTGCAGCCTTATTCAAGTGCACTGCCAGAACTGTCCATGGAGGCTGAACACCAGCACTTTACAAAGATCCAACTGAGGTGGTTCTTCCTCAGCAGCATCCATTGCATTGATGTGGAAACTGCATCTGCAGAAAAAACCCCAAACTTTAGTCTTCAGGACAGCAACTGCATCAGCATCAGCTGACAAACTAATCACCCCAATTGTGAATTGTACCTGAATTCCCCAAACTATTGCTGTGTCAGATTGCTGCTCACAGCCACACCCTGACATGGGAGTAATACTGGGGTCCCTGAGCAGTGACAAGGCTCTGGCTTGAGGCTGCCCCATGGGCACGTCTAATTATGATGTTCTGTGACAAGGCTATAAATACCCCTGGTCCCATAGGTGAAGCCCTCATTGCAGCAGGGTTTTGGGGCAGGTATGTACTCTGCTGTCTCTGCCTGCTTGGGCTGGAGGGCTGTTTGTAACCATGAGAGCCTCACAGGCCTCTCCCCCAGGGAGTGTGAAACCAGTGAGATTTCATAAACACAGAGCAAACATCAGGCAGAAAAGCACTGAAGGGGAAATGATTCAATCTGTTCAAATGAAAAAAACCCAAAGACCACCTGAGCAAAGGAAAAGAGGGGGTTACACATTAACCAAGCAACTCTGGTGGGCTGAACAGGGTCTGAGAGGAGAAGATGATCACTCTGTGAAGGGCTGCTATGGCAGGAAGGCATTTGAGGATAAAGAACTGCTTGAAGGATCTGGTAAAGAATGGGGAAGGCAGAAAGGCCTCCAGTTTGTCTTCACAGTTCTGTTCTTAAAGATCATTACATTACTGCTTTAGGCTCACAAAGCCAGTCATGCCCCTGGTCACCATCAGGTGTCAGGTGAGGAGGGTTTTTTCTCACTCTCTCCTTCACCAGCAATTCCAGCCACCATCATCTGCCTGGCCTGCTCATCTTGGCACCCTCAAAGCTCTGAGGAATAATTTCAGAGGAAGAGAATGCATAAATAAATGAGGAAATCCTTTATGGCAATGCCAGGAAGAAAGGGAACCTGATGGGCAGCCAATGAGCCATGAGGGCCAGACATGAATCCATGACATGGCTGCTGACTAAATACCATCCTAAAAAGAAAGAAAAATCGGCAAAAAAAGCCTTGCATTGATCTATCTCCTTTACTGCTTGCTTTGTCGCATGGCTGCTGACTAAATACCATCCGAAATAGAAAGAAAAATCGGCAAAAAAGCCTTGCATTGATCTATCTCCTTTACTGCTTGCTTTGTCAGAGTCTGAGGAGATGACAATCACTCACAACACAGAACTGAGTAAGGAAATTATCGGCTGCCTCAGCCAACGCGCTGCGGCGTACAGTTGTCAAACTCTTGCAAATTTTGTCAGTCTCTGAGTGTAAGTTCCTGTGATTTCTAAAGAAGCCCAGAAAAACTCCCTTTCATTACAAAGGGAAACCTCCCTTCTTGCTCACTAAAGCATCTCTGTGATGGATGCACCAGGCAGCAAAGGGCGTTCCCAGGCCTGCTCCCAGCACCTGAGATGGCCTCAGGGGTGTGGGCAGGTCTAACGAAATGTTCCCCCAAAAAAAAAAAAAAAAAAAAAAAAGAGTATATTAGAGATTAGAGTTGGTTATTAGCTTCAGACAGTGACTGGGTTGATGGATGTGAGCCTTTAGAGAAACTTTGGTGTGAGGCAGGGCAGAGGAGCGGTGGGACTGCAGGCACTGTGCTGTTGGGGCAGAGTGGAAATACAACACAGACCCATAAAAGTGTTGGGAAACCAAAAAATAACGGCACCATGAGGAGGAACGCCGGGGAGGGGATGGAGCAGCAGCAACACATACATAGGAGGTTGCAGGCGTGATGCCCAGACAGACATCAGCTCAGCTCTACTGAAAGCCCCAGCACCGGGGCAGTGCTCACCTCCTCATCCCGGCGGCCTGGGGGCCCGGTTGCCTCGGCCCAGCCCGTTCCCAGAGGCCTCGGCCCGGCGGTGCCGTGAGGGAGCCTCTGTCCCGCCATCTCCCCTCACGACGCGCCGCCCGCTGCTGCCTACGCTATTCTCGTGCCGAGTTACGCAGGTGACGTAGCGGCATAGCCGAGCCGCACGTAAGTTTCGCAGGGGGAGCGCTATTCCCATACCGATTTACGAAGGTGGCGCAACCGCATGGCCCGGCCGCACGCAGGTTGCGCAGGAAGAGCGGCGCGCCAGGATTCCCGAAGAGGTTTACGCCATCCGCCGGCCGGCGGGGGCGGGGCGCTACGGAGGCGGCGTAAGGAGGCCCCCGCCGGCGGCGCCCCGCCTCAGCCGCGGCGGCGGGGGAGGAGGAGGAGGAGCGGCGGCGGAGCGCGCCCGGCGCGATGTGGCAGCGGTCGGTGTGCGTGGGCCTGCTGGCCCTGGCGCTGGGCTACCTGTGCGTGCTGGGCCCCGAGCTGCCCCCCGCGGCCCTGCGGCAGCTCTCGGCCTCGCTGCTGGGGACGCTGCGCCGCGCCCGCTCGCTGGAGGCGCGCACGGTGGCGGCCTGGCAGGCGGCCATTGTCCGCCCCGCGCGCGGCTGGGCGCGCGTCGCCGTCGGGTAGGTGCGGGAGCGCGCGGGGAGCGCGCCTGGGCCGGGATGCGCATCCCGCTGTCCACGTGTGCGGGGTTGGAGCGTGCGGGTGCGGGTGTGCTGCGGCCCCGGCGCGCATAGCGGTGTGTCTGCGAGGCACCTGTGCCGCCCAGGTGAGACCTCACCTGCCTCCAGCTCTGGAGTCCCCAGTATCAGGACGTTGCTGGAGCAAATCCAGAGGAGGCCACGGAGATGCTCTGAGGGCTGGAGCCCCTCTGCTCTGGAGCCAGGCTGGGAGAGCTGGGGGTGCTCACCTGGAGAGGAGAAGGCTCCAGGGAGAGCTCAGAGCCCCTGCCAGGGCCTGAAGGGGCTCCAGGAGAGCTGGAGAGGGACTGGGGACAAGGGATGGAGGGACAGGACAAGGGGCAGTGGCACTGCCGTAGGGCAGGGTTAGGTGAGATATTGGGAAGGAATTCCTGGCTGTGAGGGTGGGGAGGCCTGGCACAGGGTGCCCAGAGCAGCTGTGGCTGCCCCTGGATCCCTGGCAGTGTCCAAGGTGAGCTGGACAGGACTTGGAGCAGCCTGGGACAGTGGAAGGTGTCCCTGCCCATGGCAGGGGATGGAGCCAGGTGACCTTGAAGGTACCTTCCAACCCAAACCATTCCATGATTCCATGAAAAAGAAGCGGATGTGAGTGCAGCACCTCCTGCAGTGCTGCTCAGTCAGAGCTGAATGTTGGCCAAGGGGATCAGTGATCCAGAACGCTCCTGTGGTGGGGATTTAAGCCAGGCTCTGGCCCTGTTAGAGCCCTTCTCCACAGATATTATTCCTGGCTTGATTGTCTGTAAAACAAGTTCATGTACAGTCTGAGGGTTGGGGTTAGGGGCATTTGGAGCTGCTGGTCCATCCAGCACAGGCTGGCAATAAATCGGTACCAGAGACAAGTTACAAAGTGGAGAAAGGAGCAGAGCCTTTCTTTGGGAAGAGGTAACTGAGTCCAGACACAGCTGGAGAGAGATAAGGAGGGAAGGGACAGGGAAGGAATGTTGAGCTCCGAGAAATTCAATACCCTTTCTCTTTTTAAAGCGGGAAGAGAACAAGGGGAAAGTTCAGGAATGTCACATTGATCTTATATTTAGCGCTTGACTCACTTTCTTTTAAATATATGGACATGGCAGGTAACTTGACTTTGACTGGAAGATTCATCCTTTGGATGCTGGAAGGGGTTATCCAGGTCCATGGCTGTGTAGCTCTGTGTTAGCAGAGGAATACGACTTAGTTTTATCCCCTTGGATCTGTAATGATTCGCTAAAACATAAATTTGGGGCTAAAATGCTGCTTGAATTTATGGTTTCTTTTCTCTGCAATGCTAGGGAATTTCTCTGTCCTTGGTGTAGGAGGTGGTGCACATCCGGAGGATTTCTGGGTTGGTTACCTCATGGAATGGAAAGCCTCAGGGTTTTTCATGTCCTTTATTTTGTGTGATGCAGCTTTTTTTTTGTTGCAGCCCAAATCTGACTCCTGAGAGGTCACTGCCAAGGGAGTGCTGAGTGCTGAGCACTCCTCACTGACAGGGAACAGGAACTGGCCCTTGGACTGTCCTGGGGGGAGATGTGGAGAAAGTCAGGGATCCTGCACGAGTTTGATGATGGTTTGGATCCCTGTCAGGGAAATGTGGGGCAGAGGAACAGAAATGGCACTTGACAGCTGTGACAGAAGATGCTTAAGTTGCACCTCTGTGGAGTTGCTGGTGTTATCTTAGGAAGTATTTGCAACACTCTGAAATCACAGGGAGACAAGGGCAAGTGTTTCTAATTTGTCTGCTGGGGGTTCTGGTTCTCCTGTCCTCTAGTGTGAATTAGGCTGTGATTAAATCAATGAGACATGGGGACTGGAAGTTAGACTTCCCAAAAAGCCTGGATCTGCTGAAATGGTTCTTATCCCTCCCTTACAATCGCAGGATTTTTCTCCTGTTTCCACTGCGTGCTGTTTCTGTAAGTTTGGGATGATCCTTTGGAAACTGCCGTTTTCAAATATTCCAACTGACAAATTGCTCTCTTGACTTTTTGTAAACAGAGCCAGTCTGTGTGGGGAGTTGTGTGTGGGTTGGATATTATTAGGAATAGTTGAAACTCCAGAGGCTGCTCTAGCTGACTTAAACGCTTTCAGTTTTGTTTTTAGCCGTTTTGAATCACATGCACATTTTAAACCCAAAATACACGGGTATTAGAAGCTTTTAAAAGCTTCTAAGAATTTAAAATGCCACTGTTAGTATTCCTGTTCTTTTTAAGCAAGCCCAAGGCAGGAAATGAAGTGGAACCTGTATTGTAACATACTCAGCCACCCTTGGACCACACAGCTTTCCTCGTTTTCATTCAGGAGAAAGTTAGCAATCCCTCCCTGAGCACAATAAAAGCCAGTCAAACGGAGAAAGCTTTAGGAGAGAACTTCAGGAAATTCCTGGGCCTTTTTTCCCTTTGGCTGGTTGCTCTCCCCCTGCAGAGTCAGGGATGTGCCCTCACTGCACTCCCAGGTGCCCTGAGCTCTGTCTGCCTTTCCCAGGACGCCTTTCCTTTCTCTCTGCCAGCGTCAACGCCTGCGTGGACGTGGTTCTGTCTGGGGTGAAGCTGCTGGAGGCGCTGGGCCTGGAGCCCAGCGATGGGAAGAACCACGCAGTCCTGAGCTCCGGGCAGGACCTCAAGGAGGCTTTTGCTCACTTCATGGAGAGAGGGGCGGCTGCCGAGCGCTTCTTCAGCGATGCCGACGCGTTCCAGGACATTGCCCGCGCAGCCTCGGAGCACCCCGCAGCACAGGTGGGTCTGCACCCAGGACAGAGCCTTGGGAATCCTCTCTCTTGCTTCCTTGTCGCTGCTGACTTTCATTCCCCCTCTAGAGAGCAAATCATTGAGGAGGAAGCTTGTGGTGTAGCTTGAGTTGTGTTAATGGTTTTCCCTGGGATTCTGCCCCGCTGCAAATGAGGCGTGGTTAAATGGTGTCTCCCCTGCTGACATTCCCAGACTGAAATGTCAGAGGTGTCTCTTGGGAGCCAGATGGGGCAGAGGATGTAAAAGAGGCTGAGAGTGAGGAGTTGCCTGATTTTCAGCTGTATGGCCTGTTTTCTGTGAGAGAAGCCAGGAGTGGTTTGGGTTGGAAGGGACCTCAGAGCCCATCCAGTGCCACCCCCTGCCATGGCAGGGACACCTTCCACTAGCCCAGGGGGCCCCGAGCACTGTCCAGCCTGGCCTTGGACACTGCCAGGGATCCAGGGGCAGCCACAGCTGCTCTGGGCAACCCATGCCAGGGCCTCCCCACCCTCACAGGGAAGAATTTCTCCCCAGTATCCCATCCATCCCTGTCCCCTGGCAGTGGGAAGCCATTCCCTGTGTCCTGTCCCTTCATCCCTTGTCCCCAGTCCCTCTCCAGCTCTCCTGGAGCCCCTTCAGGCCCTGGCAGGGGCTCTGAGCTCTCCCTGGATCCTGCTCCTCTCCAGGTGAGCACCCCCAGCTCTCCCAGCCTGGCTCCAGAGCAGCCCTTGGATCTTCTCTGTGGTCTCCTCTGAGCACCTGTGGCCCTTAGGACAACCCATACTTGCTGCTTTTCAAGCTCAAATCAGAGTTTAACTGGAAAGTTTGACCTTTACTACTGAAGGAACTTCCACAGTTCCTTTCACTTCACATGGGCACAGGCAGCAGGTTTCACCTCGACCTCAAACTGGAGGAAGAGTTGCTGCAGATTTTAAATGATTCCTTGTCAGCCTTGCTAAAAACCCACAGGACTTTAGCCACCGAGTAAGGGCTGTTTATATGCTGAATGAGTTGTTTTTTACAGTCCTGTCAGTGTTGGGAATTAATTGATTTTTACATGGCTGTTACCTGAATGTGAATATTTAGATTAAAAATAAAGAATGCTCAACTTGTTGAGAGAATTGTAAGATCATTTTGCCTTCAGCCCCAGTAACCTTTAGTCACTTGGGTACTGCTGAACATTGTTCTAAAAAGCCAAAATCTCCAGCCTGTGCTGAGGACTAAATGTGTTTAAAGGTCCCAAAGCAAGGGGATGCCCACACCCAGCTCTGTTTCTTTTACAGCTTTACGTGGGAGGAAATGCTGCTCTCATCGGGCAGAAGCTTGCAACAAATCCAGACCTGAAGGTACACACATCTTCCAAACATCTCATGCCACTTGGTTGTGTTCTTTAATTTGCTTGTCTCATGTTATTTCCATGTAGATTTTGGGGATCTGGCAGTTATTTCTTAGGTTCTGCTGATGGAACATATGGTTGGACTTCCAAGCTGATTTTTAAAAATTGAATTACTAACTTTTTAAAATCAATTGTGTAGGTGATGCTTAAATTTTGGCAAGGGACATGGCAAGGGAAACTTTGTTTGTTTTTCCTTATTTTCTAGATCCTTCTTTGCGGCCCAGTTGGTCCCAAACTCCATGAACTGCTGGATGACAATGTGGTTGTGCCACCTGAATCCATGCAGGAAAGAGATGAATTCCATCTTATCTTGGAATATCAAGCAGGTACAATGGAGCAGGTGTTCAGTGGTACCCCTGAACATCACTAAGGTTGGTGCACAGCCAGAGGGGTGTCATTCTGAAGCTCCATAAACACTAAAATGCTCCCTGAAAACAGAGATTTAACCACGTGCTGATGAAACTCAGGGTAACCTTCATGTAATGGCTAAAACAGTTCTAAAAGCTAAAATGGCTTTTCTGGCTGATGATGGAACCCATTGAATTTGTGATCTTGCCCAGGAATAAACCATTTCACACACACTTGGTCCTGTTTGCTCCACCCCAGGTGAGCAGTGGGGCCGAGTGAGGGCTCCTGCTGCCAACCGCTTCATCTTCTCCCACGACCTGTCCAACGGCGCCCTGAACATGCTGGAAGTGTTTGTGTCCAGCCTGGATGAATTCCAGCCAGACCTGGTGGTGCTTTCAGGACTACACATGATGGAAGGGCAGAGCAAGGAGATGAGACAGAGGCGACTCATGGAGGTGAGATTCTGAATCCCTGAATTTCCTTCATTTCCCCTCCAGGTGTGTCGTGGCAAGGCCTTGTTTTCCCAGGTTTGAAGGTGTAGGAAGGCTGTGCCACAGATCTCAGGATTGAATCTCAACAGGAGAGTGGGAGCTACAGGAATGGCTGAAGTCTAACCATGTAACAGTGTCTTTTCTTAGATTCCGTGGCTTGTCTAGGGAAAAGAAGAGCTTGTTGCCTGGCTGGAGGGTGTTGACCTGGGTACTGGGCTTGTCTAGCAGCTAAACAGGCTTTTTCTGTGCTGGACACTCAGATCATCCAGGTTATAATCAACACCTGCATTCCTTAAAGAGCATCTGTCTTGTGCCACCTGTTTTACAGCTGAGGACTTGTCCTGATGCAAGGCATTGGCATTTTTCATGTTCTGGGATCAGCTCTTCTATAGCTGCTTCAGATTTGTGAGGTTTTTGGAAGTAATCCTTTAGAAAGGTTCTGAGCTGGGAGCAGATTAAGGCTAGATAGTGTTCCTGCTCTGGGATTCTGCAAACTAGAAGTTGTTTTATATCCTCTCCTTAGCACTACATACACAGGTCAGACATCCCCTTGAATTGCTTATATTCACACACAGGGAGATTAAAGGATGTGTATCTTGAGTCACAACCCTTTTTCTTCTTCTGTTCCTTAATAAATACGTGTTCTAAGGTTGTTTTTTCCTTTTTCCTGTAGGCTGTGGCCTCCATCTCTGATATCCCAACTGACATTCCCATACACCTGGAGCTGGCCAGTATGACTGATCAGGATTTTATGAGCAACATTATGCATCAGGTAAGGAAAATGAAAGGATGTGCTCTTCTCAGTTCACTGTCACAGTGCACACACTAGTGCATGAGTATAGACATCAAAACTCAACTTTTGGACTATGCATTGGAAGATGAATTGAGGAATGAATTTGAGCTGAGTTTAGAATTTTAAAATATCCCTCAATTTCTTTGCAGAATTTCTTTCCCGGTGGTTCCTTGTTTGGCTTGACACAGCTCTGATCTCAGTGTTGTATGTGGAGTTGTGTTGTTACTCTTTATTGTCAAAGTGTGTGTCTGGAAAATTAATTGCACCGAATGGAATGTTTTCTTGGCTAACTTTGTGGAAGTGCAGTGACTGGGAAAGTGGGTGCTGCTTCTGCTGAGGCAGCAGCAGGGTACTGCAAAAGCCCCGGCCCGGGGAGGGCTCCCAGGTGTGACTCCGCTCCTGAAGGCAAACCCGCCGTTCCCTGTTTCTGTTAGCAGGTCTTTCCCCTGGTGAACTCCATCGGGCTGAACGAGCAGGAGCTGCTGTTCCTCACCCAGTCTGCTTCTGGTCCCCACGCCTCCCTGGCCTCCTGGAGCGGCATTCCCGACGTGGGGGTGGTGAGCGACATCCTCTTCTGGATCCTGAAGGAGCACGGCAAGACGGCGGAGCGGGCCTCGGACCTCACGCGGATCCACTTCCACACGCTGGCCTACCACATCCTGGTCACCGTGGACGGCCACTGGGGCAACCAGGCGGCGGCGGTGGCGGCTGGGGCCAGGGCTGCCGGCACCCAGGCCTGTGCCACCGACACCATCGACACCAGCAAGTTCTTCCTCAAAGCTCCTCTGGAGTTCGTCACCTCCCACACGGAGGCACCGTCAAAAATTTCCCTCAATCCGGACGAGCCCGTGGTGCACTGGCACAGGGAAGGCATCTCCTTCCACTTCACCCCTGTGCTGGTGTGCAAGGATCCCGTGCGGACCGTGGGACTCGGGGATGCCATTTCAGCCGAGGGACTGCTCTACTCCGAGGTGTATCCTCAGTAGAAAACCAGGACTCTCCTTCCTCTTCAGCACTGCACGGTGTCCGAGACCCGTGGATTGGGACTTGAAGCAGTGGTGGTATAGGAACAGAACCAGGGTGTGGTGTGTTTTCTGGGTATAACTGAAAAAGAGCCAAAGAATAATTCCAGGTATAAACTGTCAGCTACATTCCAGTCACTCAGCAGTGACTCGAGCGCTTCACGTGCAGGTCAGGTGCAAATGTTTTAATATTTAATGTGAAAACTGGCTTTGTCTTAAGGGGGAAGGACACAAAGGCCAAATCCCTGGCGGGCAAAGTTTGCTGTTAGTAGCTCAGAATGGATCTTTTCTGGTAGTGCTGCAGAGTGCAGCAGCAGGAGAATTTCCTGCCCCTGGATCCCAGGGAGAGCACAGCAGTGCCCGGCCCTGCCTTGCCTCTGGTAAATTCAAAATAAAAGGCTTGTGGGTTATCTCCTCCCAGCACTTTGCAAACCTTCCTTGGGGTGAGGATGGAATTATTGCCTGGTCCAATCACCTCTCTGTGTGCCCAGCCCCAGAGGGAGCCACAGTGACACAGACATCCCAAAATGTGACACAGACTGAACCTACTCCAGGCTGCACAGGTGCTTCTGGATATCTGTGACTAAGGGTGTTCAACTGAGCCCCAGCAGTCTGTGCTTAGTTTTTAGGAAACAAGGAGTGAAGATAATCAGGGTTTCAGTTTGGGGGACAGCTGTGTTTCCCTGCCAGGGAACCCCCAAACCATTCCCTGTGTTTGCTGTACACTAAATACTCTGCTAATGGTGTGTTAAAGAAAAGCTCTTGAATGCTGGAGACTCATTTTTGGTTGGTTGAGAATGGTTGTGCCAAATTTTTCTGTCTCTCTGCCCTCTATTAGGAAAGGTTAATAAATCCAGAGGGAGGGTCCCTCTGGAAGCTCAAAAGCTGCAATAGTGTTTTCCAGGTAAGACTGAAGTGAGATGCCCTTTTTAGGGTTTGATGTTGGGTTTTTTTGTCTAGGTCACCAGTAGTTTCTTTGCTCTGGCCTTTGAAATTAAAAAAGCAGAATCTTGTGTCCTTGTTAAATATTTTGCTTCTATTTTTTAACCTTTTCACAGTCACACACTAAGAATTGTAGAGCACCAGCATGGTTTTCTCTCTTCCCAGCATGGTTTTGTCTCTGGCCACTTCAGGAACCTGGAGTGTATTTGCACAGCTCTCAAGCCAGTTTTCAGTAGAACTGGGTTAAGTGCAATCAGCATGTCTGGGCAAGCCTGTGCCTTAGCAGAGCTTGGCAGAGGTTGTTCCAGGTCAGTCTTTGCACCTGAATGGAGGGAGGGGAGTCTGTGTCACTCAGGGTGGAGTGATCTGTTGCAGTAACACTGTCAGGCTGCTGTCAGTGGTGTTCTCTGTTGGGAAAAGCCGTCCTGGCTGCTCTGCAAGGATGAAAATTGGCAGCTGTTGTGCTTGCACTGACTCAGCACACAATGCTGTCTGTCATGTGCATTCAGCTTTCCCCCTGAGCAAAGTGTTCTGTGTTGTACAGAGCAGAAGTACAGTCAGTGCTGTGTTTTCCTGCAGCTCAGCCCACCTCGAGCTTCCCTTGAGTGTCAGCATTTTATCCAGCTGCAGGATCTTAAGACTGGAGGCCTTTCTACCCAGATTATTTTTTTATTATAATGACTATTACTGCTGTTATTATTATAATTGATAAACTGTAGCACAGGAGTTGGGAGTTCTGGTTTAGTCTTCCTAATCTGAAAATAAATGAAAAGAACCTCTCTTTTTGGCTCACTGAGAGGTCCAAGGCCATTAGCAAGGCTGTTTTGCAGCCTGGGATGGTGGCCTTTTGGCACTCCACTCCTAGGGCCACCAAAGGCCATGGATCTGCCAGCTGGAAACTGATCCTTGGCTTATACTGTAGATTCTGGACCTGGAAACAAAAAAAAAACTAAATACACACAAGCTGTCACCAGCAATGGCCCTGCTGCTGTATTTCACTTCTTGCTAAAACACTTCCAGGGATGTGAGACTGCTGGGACTGACATTCCTTAGGGCCACCTAAAAACACATGACTGCACATACCTTGTCCCAGGGTCAGCTGTGCTTGCATTGAACAGGAACATGACAGGCTAAAATTAGCTTTTTTAATCTGAGCCAGTAACTGCTGTAAAGAATCATTAAAAAGGAGCTTACTCCTTAGGAATCATGTGTGCCAAAAGCTAAACTGATAGAATTATTCCTGCTGCTCCTCACAGGTAAACATTTCTGCTGTAGCCCCTTCTGGGTGTGCTGGGAACACCTGGCATGGTGAGCCCCAGCTCCAATCCCAGCAGCTGGGGATGGCCAGGCTGCTGCTCTACCCAAATCTGCTTTGTCAGGCACATAGAGCTCATGTGCACCCAAAGTCACTTCCCAAGGAGAATCCTTAACCACCATGACCTGTTCATCAGCTGTGCCAGTGGGATCCCTGATTAAGTTGTGGAACAATCTATATGGTAATAAATCTGAATTGAATGGAGGGGCCCAGCAGCCTCTGCTTTGTTTCACATGCTGTGAACATGATGTGCTTAACTTCCTTTTGCCTTCCCAAATTAATGACAGGGAGGCAGAGCTCCTGAAATGCTTCCCCTGCACTTGTAGTCTCACACCTCTGCACAGCTACAGTAGTGACAACAAAGAAAAGCAGCTTCAACAGCTGCAAAAATACCAAAGCTTCAAAACCAGGCTTGAGCTGACCTTGTTCCCCCTCATCCTCTGTCTCTACAAATTCTATTTGTTCTCCTGTGTTACTTGTACCTTGAAATCCACAGTGATGGATGACTCAAACCTCAGCCAGCCTCACTCCTGGAGCAGGGTTTGCAATGGAAATGTTTATTCACACAGATTCTGCTGGAGGTGCAGCAGCAGAGCTCAGCACTGTGACAGCTCTCCATGGTAAAACCTGTACACACTGGTATTTTCACTTGTGTGTTCCTGCAGCCACCTTGGCTTGGGTTTGTTTTGCTTTATCCATGATCCAAAATTAGTATTCTTCCCATGTTTTCTGTGTATGGCACTTACTGAGGGTCAAGTGCTGGATTATTTGGGAGGTGTGAATCACAGGGGCCTGGCAGAGTCTCAAAGGACACGTTCCTTCTCCACTGTGCCCTTGGTGCTGTGCCATGGAAGAGCCAATCCCAAATCCAACTCTTGCCATTTGAAAGGCTCTTTACCTTTGTTCCTCTCCAGGGGAGTTTCTCAGCATTACTAAGAATTACTTGATTTTCTTTTGTTTCCTGGTTATGTCCTGTTGGGATGTGTGAGATCCAGCCAAGTTGGACCTCTCTTCCCAAGTTCATTTACAGAACTGGTGCTGAAATGTTCTTCCTCAGCCTTTAGCAAAGACCTCATTAACTGCTTTGTGCTGGATGTTTTAGAGCTCTGCTCAACTCATTAGCCACTGGAATCCAAAGCCTGGAGAGCAGCAGAGCACTAAATCCATTCCAAAACCCAATGGAAAACTGTCAGCAGTTGTGCTTGGGTTATTTTTTTACTATTTATCTGTAATGATACACTGAATTACCAGGGTTTGCGTGCCACAGGGTGACTTTTCCAGCCATGTCCTGAGCAAAGAGTTGAATAATGGGACAGTTCTGTGAAATGGTACAACAGAACTCAATTTCCAGTTATCCTAAAATGTTGGTTGTGGGTTCTTTTGGAGCTTGAAGCTTAGGTGAAAGCTGAGGTTTGTGAGTGGGTGAACAGCTCAAGTGTCTCTGTGCCAGTATTGTCTCTGTGCAATCTGTTCCAGAGCAGCACTGGCACAGACTTGTGTCACACAATTGCTGCCTTGCTATTCCTGGGCTAAGGAACCTCAGTGTTGGGGAGAACAGGAGAAAATCAGAGGAAAATACTGGGTCTGAGTAAGACTTTACATTTACTGGGGCAGCAAGACTTGGATCTCAGAGCCAGGAATGCTGGTTCTACCTCTTGGAGCTGTGGGATGAAGTTCTCCTCTTTCACTGTGGAGCAGTTTCTTGTTGGTGTCTCAGCTGGATCCAGGCAGAATTCTCAGGGAGTCACTAATCCAGACTCTGATGTTCTCTCAGCAAAGGAGAGGTGCAGGTTGCAAATAGCACATGGCCATTCCCTCCTGTGCCAGGAGCTCTGTTCCCAACAGCCTGGGACCAGCCTGTGCTCAACAGATCTCACAGCAGCTGAGGAACACAGATGATGGCAGGAATTATCCCATTAAAATATAAGGGGAGGCAATGGAAAAAATACCCTGGAAACCTCCCCTGTGAATTTCTCAGGAAAGCTGCCCCTCGGTGCAGACTGGGTAAAACTGGGTTCAAATCTCACCTGTGTCTTCCATTAAAAACACAGATTTTTTTGAGCAGTATGGTTTGAGGGAGTGGTAAAGCTTTCCTTGTAGCAGAACTGGGTTTTCTCTTCTAGAAAAGTCTTGGCAGATGGAGTACTTGTTATAACATGGGCTCTTTTTGAATGCATTTATGTGTGGAGCTTATTATTTTAGTAAAGCTTTCCCCCATTCAGCACTGAGGCTTGTCTGTCTCTGCAGAAGAGGCTTTGCCAACTGAAACCCACTCCCCAACTGGGAAATCTAAATTCTGAACAGCTTTAAGGCCCCCACATCCACCTTGCTCAGTCACAACTAAGTAAACAAGTACAGGAGCACAGCATGTACCCACTAATACTGCCTGTACCATAAATCAGCATCCAGTTGTCTCAGGGACCTCAACACCACATTTTTTTGGGTTGAACACATGTTGCTGGATAGACAGATCATTACTCTTGGCTGGAAAAAGGTCTTGCCACCCAGGCATTGATGTTTGAACGACTTTTGTTTCCTGTGTAGAAGCCAAGATGTAAAGTACCTTGTGAATTCTGCTTTACCCTGTTCATCACAGACCTTTCCCTAAAAAGGGGAAGAAAAGTCCTAAAGCAGATGGTTTCTGCTTCCCTCAAAATTAAGCTCATGATTCTTTTCAGTTAAGGGGGGGAAAAGAGGGGATTAGAATTATGGCTGATGCCAGAAACAGGTTTTGGAACATAAGGTGTGATTTCCAAAATCCCTAAATGCCTCAGTGCAGTCCTGCTGAACAGTCCCTTGCTTAATTCCAGCTGAAAGGGCAGTCCAGCCTCATTACCATTAGCACAAAAATGCTCTCCAGAATGATCCCAGGAATTTACTGCATGCAAATGCCACCATCACCATGCCCAGGGGAGGAAAGGGGACAGGACAGGAATTGCAGCTCTATTTATTATCCAACTGGAATTACATATTTAAAAATGCTCCCCTAGACATGAAGCTCCCAGAAAGTAAGAAGGTGCTACTGCTTCATTTTATAGAAGAATTCATTCACTGTTGTATAAGCTTTTCATAAAATATGTATTTAAAATAAATCCTTTCACAGTACCTCCAAGAGCAGTAAGTGCTCCCTGTGTGACACTTATCCTATCAAAGCATCATAGGACAAAAATCTGCCTTGAATTAAAGTTTTGGGGCTGAAGAGAAGAATTTGCAGCCCCTGCCCACCCCTGCTCTCCAATCCTCACCTCTTCTTCCCAGTCACTCTGTTAGGCTGCAGGAACTTTCAGTGTAACAAGTTAAATGTGAATAAAAATCTCTGCACTGTACCTGACTGACACTGTTTCTTGTCTGGTTTGTTTCAATTTGCCAGTGCTCTACAAAAAAATTCTGTTTAACTCCTGGCAGGAGGAAATCCTTACAGAAGTGCTGCCCTGGGGCTGAACTGACACAAAAGCCAGCAGGAAGGACACCCGAGAGGAAAAAAAAGCCTCATTTAAGATAAGCAGTCTGGGCTATCAGAACCCAGGGGAAAGTGAGGGGCCCTACTCTTTCCAGGGAGCAGGAGAGCACTTGAGCTCCTGGCTGGGCTCTAAAGATGCATTAATGTCCTTTGGATAAGAGCAACAAACCACAAAGCACAGCTGAAGGCTGGGATGTACCCAGAGCCCTGCTCATGCTGCCTCCAAGATGTTTCCATGAGTAACCTTCCGCTCCTGGGCTGGTAATTATGGAGGGATACAGTCCAACAGTGCAGAACTAAAAGCAGGAAATACATTGTCAAACAGCTGGGGAGCTTCACCAGCAAACACAGAGCCCTAAAGCTTCAGTTTACTGGTTCTTTATGCAAATTCAGCTGTTCACCAGTTCAGCCACTGGAAGGGTTTGATTCTCCTCACCATCCAGGATCCTAAATCACTACTGCTGGCTTTGCTAAAGGTCCTTCTGGAGGACTCACACCCAACCTGTGGAGAGCTGGACTCTCCAGTTCTGTAGAGAGTTGTGACTGCACTAAGAGTAGCTACACAGAAACCTCTGGTCACTGCAGTGACTCCTTGGAACCAGGCAGAGCCCACAAGCTAAAATCACTGATAGAGAACAGCTCCATCCAGACTGACAGTGGGGAGAAGCCACCATGGGGCAGGGTGGGGCAGGTCTCTTTCCCCAATCCCAGGCAGCCCTGGAGAGGCTCCTGCACTGCCTGTGCTGCCCAGAGCTGCCCTACTTTGCTGCCTCCTGGCTCTGGTGCTTCTCCTTCCTCTGCTCCTCGTCCCCTGTGGGAGCTGAGTTCTCCTCAGGGCTCGTTTCTGAGTCCTGCTCCTGTTCTGGTTCCAGAGGCAGGGAGGGAGGCTTTTTTGGCAGAGCTGGTGTTGCAGCACCTGGGGAGAGAACACAGTTAAAGTTACTCTATGGCCATGTGTGTGTTGTCTGCTCTTTATGTCCTTCCCAGCAGCAGAGGTGCAAAACAATCACAGCTTTTAATTAGCCTCAGATTCCTTCTGCCTAACATTGGTTAACTGACACTGAGTTATCCAGACCTGACAGTGCCTGAAGTACTGCTGGAAGGAAGCTCAGGTACAGTCTCTCAGCTGTCAGAATTCAGTACAAATGTAGGAGTTAACTCATGCTCTAGAAGGGAAAACATTTTCTAGAATCACGAATTTCAGAATGGTTTGGGTTGAGAAGGACCTTACAGCCCATCTCATTCCACCCTCTGCCACTGGACACCCTCCACTGTCCCAGGCTGCTCCAAGCCTCATCCAACCTGGCCTTGGGCACTGCCAGGGATCCAGGGGCAGCCCCAGCTGCTCTGGGCACCCTGTGCCAGGACCTCACCACCTCACAGGGAAGGGCCACTTCCAGTTCCACTGAAGCTGGTTTATGCTCAAGCTGGAGCCCCAACCAAAGTGTTGTTTTCACTTCACAGCTTTAGCAAATATGGGGAGAGTTTCCAGGCAGCTAAAGTAGCTACTTACAGAATTAAATCACAACAGGACACAAGCTGTTTCTACACTTACATTTAAGGTGTCAACTGATGTTATGAACCAGCTCCCTTCTCTGATCTGGATAATGAAGTCCTTCAGGTACACTTTAAACCCTGGTGTGTTTTATTTTTCAGATTTTCTGGCTAAGTCTTTGCTGCATGGAAAGTTTATTCCATGTGTGAGAAATGGAACAGGTCCTTAGGGATGCCAAAGAAAGAGGCCTGGATTACACAACCACTCTCCTGGTTCAGTCCACAGGCAACAAAACTGAGAGTGACAGAAAATCATCACAACGAGCAACATCTCCAGTGCATTCCTCCTTGGAAGCTGAGGGGTGAGAGGAGGTCAGCCTTGGAATGGCTCAGGAGTTGCTCCTACCCAGCTCCAGCACATACAGTGATGGGCCGAGCCTGCAAAGGCTCACACCACCTCCTGAGAACCCTCAGTCCCACTAAATCCAGCAACACCTGCAAGGATGGGCAGCTTTGGAGCAATCCAGCTGCAGGATCACTGTCAGAGAAATGATGGAAGTACTTTGGAAAATTGTCCATCTTTTCCCTTCTCTGCAGCAGCCTCTGTGCAAGGCAGCTCCTGGGCTCTTGCAAAGAAAGGCAAGAGGTCTGATTGCTGAAACTGCTTCCTTTCCAGAGCAAGATCACAACCTCATGCTATCTCATGGAATTTTCCCTGTTGAGGCTCAGACAGGAAGGGAAACTTTCCCAGCATCCCACATCCCTGCAAAAGCAGGAGAGTGACACTACACAGAGCATCTTCCTGAGCTCAGAAATCTGAGAAAGTTATCACCAAATATTGCCCTCACTGCTGTGTGAGCGAGTCAGTCCCTTCCCAAACAGGTGCTGTAACTCTTCCAAAGGGAAGAGAGATTTATTTTCTTCTCTCCCACATCTATACTTGAAGGAACATCAGAGGAGATGTACCTGGGGGGAGCTGCATGGTTTTCCCATATGCTGCAGCAGAGGACATGGCTTGACCCAGGGCCTGGTTGGAGCCCAAAGGCTGCTGAGAGCTGGATTTCCCTGACACACCAGCTTTCTGCTTGGATTTGGACTCTTTAGAAGGCTTGGTCCAGACCAGGCTCTCCCCGACCTGCAGGGCAGCCCCCATCTTCTGGGCCATCTCCACCATCTTCTCGGGAAGCAAAAAGAGAAGAGCACCGTAAGCAGGGACACTTCAGATAACAATAAAGTCAACAACACCATAAAAAAAAAAAAACTACAAGAAAAGATCTGTGGAGAGCTGGCTACAGTTTGGTACTTGGGGGAAACATCTCCACTAATTCAGTCCCTTCATTAAGAGGGAATCTTGTCTTGCTGTGTATTGATTGAAGAACTGGGCTTCAAAGAGCAGAAAGGAAGTGAGCAGCTCTCAGCAGGCACTTGCTCTGCTTGGAAAATCTCATCAGCAGAATTTCTTCCTAATAACTGGACTCAAAGTGAAACCTCCTCCTCATTTGCTGCCTGCCCTCGGGTGGCTCCTGAGCCCAGGCACAAACCTCAGGGTCGAAGTCGGGCGTGCTGCTCTCCCTGGCCATGGTGACCTTCCTCTCCATCTCCTGGTACTGGCTCAGGGCCCCCTGCTTGTCGCCCTGGTTGTAGAGCAGGACAGCATAGTTCAGGTTGATGAGGGGGTTGCACCTGCAGCAGACACATGGGATGCATCACATTTCCTGAGGGAGCACTTATCCTGGCTGCAGTAATGCTAAGGTGTGCCCAAGCAAAGCTGGACACACCTCATTGCCTGGCACCAACAGAGAGGCTACAGCCAAAGTCCTTTGGGAGCACGGCTGAACCCTCTTGCCTGATGACAGACCCAGTGCTGGGCTCTGCAAAGGCCCTGGGTGGGGGTGCCAACAGAAACACCCCCACTGCCTCCCTCCCTCCCTGCAGCAGCCAGTTCTGTGCACCTGGGGGCAATCCTGGGACTCTCTGGTCCCCAGCCTCACAGTGATGGGGTTTTTGTCATACTGAGACACATGATCTTTCTCTGATTTACCTCAGACTCTCCCAGCACTCCCAGTCTGCAGGAGAGCAGCTCGTCATGGGACAGGCAGTGCAACAGAGCCCTGCTCTTGGGTTCTATTTTATAACCTGACACAAGACAGAATGTGCTGTTTACAATTCATTTCCTCACCTCCCCTCTCTCCTACCCCAGCAAAACCACACACAACAGCAGGTACTGCTACAGGTGAACACAGGCACCTGCACGCTCCTGCCTCCCTTCCTGAATGAAGATTTAGAACTGCTCATACACTCTCATTTCCCAAACCATCCATCTCCTTCACTGGGATACATTAACCCTCTCCAGGAGAGCCAGAGTGGGTGGAGCAGCTCTGCCTGCTCACAGCTCCCTGTGTGCACCCCACAGGAGCATCCCTGCAGCCAGGCCAGGCAGGGATGCTCCGATGCTCCGTGGGTTGACAAGAAATGTGAGTGAGGGACTGGTGCCCTCTCCTGGAGTATGGCTGGGATAACTGGAACCATCCATGGCCAAGGCAGAGGGAACATCCCCTGGAGCAATGCAGAAGGGAAGGATCCTGTTTGCACTGGACAATAAATGAAGTGTCACCTGCAGGCCCTGGTGACTCTCCATCCCAGTGCAAGGAAGGCAACTCTTAGAAGAAAACCCACTGCATTTATAACCATGGCTTCTCCTTTAACTAGGAAACTGGAATGCTGAGCCCACCACAGAAGAAGCCCTCCTCCCAGTCTTTGCCAAAACACTGAGGAGATCAGACAGTCCTGGGAACAGCCAGTTTTAAAATTAATTGAACCTGATGGAGCTATTTCACTGCCTTCAAGAGCTGAGAAGCAATATGACAGTCAGAGAAAAATCAATAGCTGAATACCCACAGAAAGGACACTCACAAGCCAGAATCAGGATTGGAACACATTTTTCTAAAGAGTTTTCCAAGTTATTTCCATTCCAACCCCAGCATGGCACCCAGGCCACTACAAAAACATTCCTGGTGATGGAAACCAACCACGTTCATCCCAAACAGCCAGAACACACCAGCAAAGGAAACTTATGGGGACACAGATTCAGCCTCACAGTCTGGATGTTCCCCCCAGCAGGCCCTGGCAGTGGGAATTCATTCTTGCTTTGATTAGGGTTTATTTTCCTGGGCAGACCATAGAGCTGGAGCACTGCCCAAGTGCCAAATACTTGGGCAAAGTTGTAGAGCCCATTTACTGCTCCTTCTCTTTGAGCAAAGCAAACATCCAGACTAAGGAGTCTGAGCTGCCTTTAAGGTCCTGTCCTACCTTGCTAGGCATGGAAAGCTGATAAGGAATAGATTCATGGGATGGTTTGGGTGGGAAAAGGCGTTA